AATATTAAAAAATAATAATAATAATAAATATGATCATAATCATAATCATAAGCATAATAATAATAATAGGAACCTAATAATAATCATAATAATAATCATCATCATCACCATCATCATCATCATCATCATCATCATCATCATCATCATCATCATCATCATACAGCACGCTCTGTGCGCTTCAGAAATACATGTATTATTACGCCAGCAGACCCTAAAACGCTCAGAAACATTATTGGCTTCCCGAGTCAAACTGTGGAACGCACACGCTCAAACACGTACAAACTGACATGTTATTATCGTTAGCTGTTTATAAGTTCCCACCTGCTTGAAGAGAGGAAAATTCGTGTTAATAGCTTATCCCAAGGACATAACGTTGAGCCCATGACACGATTTGAACCCACAACTTTACGGTTGGGAGTTTGAGAACCTAACCACTAAGCCACCAACCATTTCAATTAATCTAGTATCTGTGAAAGAACAGAACAGGAGACAGTAGGTGTACCCAAACTGAGTAAGGCCTACAAGTAACTAACTAACGACATAAAAGCGAACTTGTCTTCAGCTTCTTTGGTTAATACAAAAAGAGATCTAATGCAGAGACATTGCTATTATCAAACAATGAGACTATCTATTTTTATAAATTACCATTTTGAGAATGAACACACTGTGCACATTAATTATTCTAGGAATAAATCTAAAAACTGTAGCAGCAGTAACAATTAGGCTACAACGGTGTTTAATTAAAAAGAACAAGAACAACTTCAACATAAACAAATTTCCTGAAATAAAGAAATACAAAGGTAGGACCTACCAGTAGCACAACCCTCCGTTTACCCCTCTGATAAACATCAACAACTACAACAATAACAAGAACGGAGCAGGAAGGACCAGTACGTTGTGCAAGAGCAACAACAACAACAACAACAACAACAACAACAGTACCACCAACAACAACAACAGCAACAGCAACAACAACAACAACAACAACAACGACAACAGCAACAACAGCTGCAATAACAACAGCAACAGCAACAACAACAACAACAACATTTTCCTTAAAACGAGAGGCTCTTATTATGTGACCAGCCATGACTGGCAAAAATCAAGACCGGTCACTTCTCTGGGCTGCGGGCCTACAAAAAATAAAATAGACAAAACATCGGACCCAACCTGTCCATTGTGCCGCGAGGAACCCCAAGATTTGGAGCACTGGCTGCAGAGATGCCCCGCCACGGAGGTCCGGCGGTGGCATCTCTTCGGGGAGGATTCAGGGAGGTTGGACTGCCTCACCTGCTACCCAAGGGAGGCGGTGGCCCTGGCGAAGAGCACTCTCTTCAGGGCTCCAAACATTTCGAACGGATAGGCTACCACACACACAACAAAAACAACAAAAACAACAATAAATAAACAATGTTGTAATAGAATTGTGCCATACCTGTGGTTCGCCCAGAAAGGTATCCTGGTAAAGCCTGAGGAAGGTTTCATTCTTGGACAACTCCAGGAGGCGTCCCACAATCTCGGCCTCTCTCCGGGCAAAATCTGTATGTGGGAACAAAAGAACACGGCCTCTGTATTCTAGTATGATTTTTACGACACTTGCAATATAATTAGGTCATATGAGTGCCGCAGATTAGAGGTGCGACAAGAGAGTAACAAACACAAAAAAGAAGGAAGAGAGATTAGGACCATAGCTGATTGGTAAGAAAAAAGAATCAATTCACACCTGAGCACCCGCCAACCTCTCATTTCTGTGGTCTTTTAGTTTAAAGAAGCAGACGAGCTCCCGTGGTCAAGAGGTACGGTGTTTGCCTCTCACTCATTAGACCCCGGGTTCAAAACCTGACCACAACTTTAAAAACATTTCACCCATTAACTAATTATAATAATATTCTGTCGTCTGCTTTCGTCTCCACACGTAGCTTCTCAGATAAGGGCGAAAAATCTCGGAAGTCACGACTGCAAGTTGCGCACGTTAAAGTTCCCTTGGTGGTCCTAAAATCGATAAGAGTAGGCTCCGGCAGCCACCTGGGCAAAAAAAAATGTAATGCTTAATGTGTCCACACGCTTGTATGACCTTATATATATGCAGTTGAAAGCCCAATAAACACTTACCAAAAAAAACAACAACAACAACAACATCGACACGATACTGAATACTTCAAGTAAGGGAAAAGGTAAGACAGACAGAAAGAAACAACACAGGGAAAGAAAAGAAGTAGGACCTACCAGTGGGGCCCTCCAACCACCCGCGCATATGGTGCTATAAAAGAAGCCAAGGAGAAGCAGTAGAAAGGCTGCAGAAAGAGTCAGGAGCCCAGAGGAGGGGGCAGAAAGAAAACAGACAACAGAACATTGCTAGAGAGCAGGAAAGGAGGTGAAAGGAGGCAATTTTAGTTAAGAATTTTTTTTCGGCCGCTACCTGGATTCGAACCCGGGACCTTTGAATGAGAGGCGACCACCTTAACCTCTAGGCCACGAGAGCCCCCTATGACTGTTCGTTTTTTGAGAGTTTAAAAAGTTGGTAGGCCTATTCTCATGACAGAGAACATGGCCTTGAAAGCAACACGAAAAGCTAGGCTAATCCTAAGCTGTTATTTTGTTGGGGGTTTTGGGATTGTTTGTTTATTTGGGGTTGTTGTTGTTATGTGTTTTGTTGTTGTTGTTGTTGTTGTTGTTGTTGTTGTTGTTGTTGTTGTTGTTTTGTTTTGTTTGCGAGGGGGTTTTTTGTAAGTGTTTTACGGCGCTCCCAACTGCATCGCGTCATATGAGTGCGCGGGACACTTTAGGCATTTTCAGTTTTGTTTAAATTAATTTTGAATTTTGGCCGGGTGGCGGCCGAAGCCTACTCTTATCGATTTTAGAACTACCAAGGGATCTTTGACGTTCGTAAATTCCTCAAGGGACCTACGAGATTTAGTTGACCTTCTCCAAGAAGGCTAGGGGTTCGATCTTACCTTCCCTGTGGCTCAAAGCTACCGAGAAGAGCAATGCAGCTTATCCACTGTATCGTCGACCAGGTAAATTTACAAAGAATAAGAGTCAATTTTTATAACTCGAAACAACTAAATCTGAATGCAAACACACCACCAACCCCCTCCCCCACTGATTAATTGAACCACTTACCTGGTTTTATCCGAGCGCTGAAAACTGCGCTCAGTAAACACAGACACACTCCTAAAGCGAATGACTTCATAGTTGATCCAAAAAAGAGTATAGTCTCACTCTTTCTCTCTCTTCTCGAGCTTCTAATCTAGGGGTCTCCTTGGCTCTCCGACCCCTTGTCCCCTCAAGCCACGACTTTCTGATAAAGTGTGAGCCTTCGCTTACAGTTCAATTATTTATATTATTATCATGTAACGACTCGGATGCTTTCCTGTACTCTTTACCTATTAACCCTACCACGTCATTCTTCCCACATTTTTATCATTTCTTTTCTGGCAACCTACTATCCAAGCAATAGTGGTGATATGTTTAAACTCGTCATCACTCATGCAGCCATGCAGCTTATGCAATCTCGGGCGGCAGAAGGATAGTTCAGAGTGAAAACGTTTCATTTGTGTCAATGATTTATATTGAGTATGTTACATTTTTTTACTTGGCACACACGAATCATCCTCACCGTGAACGTAATCCTAGAGCTTCCGATCGAAGTGGCTAAAATACATAATTTTTATCTATTGCTTAAATTTGTTAAAACAAGGACAGGGATAACGTACAGAATTAAAGGCCTGTAAGAGATAGAACTAAAACGGTTGATGGCCAAAGTGCGATCGAACAATGGAATTCGAGTATGGGTGTTTCAAATTTTGCTATATAACGTGGTTTGTAACAATAGCGTGTGTCAGACAGCTGAGCGTGATATCTAATCTAATTTGTTTTTCAATTGAGTGTTATCATCAAAGTCATGCACATGAAACTTGTACTTCTCTTATCAAAGCAGTACAATGTCGGTGACACTTGGTCTTAACTAGAGCAAGGATGTTTTAGCGACGTTTGCTATCGAAACAGTGGCATTCACTATTCAGGTTTAAAAACTAGAGTTTCATAGATCTCTAAAGATATCTGTTGCTGATCTCTAGAATTTGTTTTATGGAATTACTTCAGCGACTATGTAAACGAAACACCGAGACTGGGGAAACGTAATTCATCTATATTATATATAGATATGAGACAAAAATGTAGCTTTGAAATTGGAAAAACATTTATTCCAGGCCAATGTTACTTCGGGTCAAAAGGTTATTAACTTCCATGTTAATTATTTATTTCTTTACAAATTCGTTCTAACTGACTCCCTGCATATGACTGGCCTTATACGAGGGGCATACAAAAATTTTTTATTTTTTTTATCTGACCATGATGGAATAAAGGTAGAAAGCTGAAATTTGGGGTGAAAGCCAACAATCATCTTCCTGGAACGCCTGTAAATTTTGGAGAATTTCTGATAAACGGTTTTAAGTGAATGGGGGTACGTTGTTCTCCAGTTTCAACCTAAAAATTGAGAAAATTGAGCGCAGGGCAGTAATTACATTTTTGTTCTTGCAAGGCAAGCAACTACAAGATATTTTTACGAAGATGCATGCCGCATATGGAACTGGCTGCCTATCCTATGCTGTGATAAAATTTTGGTGTAAAAAATTCAAATGCTGATTCATAGACATTGAAGACGACCACCGTGATGGTCGCCCAGTGAGAGCAACAACAAAAGAAAATGTGTTGAAAATCAAGAAACGTGTGTTGTCAGATAGGCGGGAGACAGTCGAACTTTTGAGCAAAGAAACTAGGCCCTAGCATTAGATCAGTTGAATGAATCTTTAATGAACATTTGAATATGACGAACGTTTGTACGAGATGAGTCCCACGTGTGTTGACTTCTCCTCAAAAAGTGCAACGTGTTGATTGTTGACAAGAATTGCTTGGTCTGTATGAAAAGGATGAAAGATAAAGAAAACACTTCAAGAAAAACTGCAGAAACTGCACGAGAAAATGGCTATGAATTTTTGCCATATCCATCCTATTCTCCAGATTTAGCCCCTGTCGACTTTTTCTTATTCCCCAAACTGAAAAATGATTTAAAAAGAAGGCATTTTGAAAGTGATGATGACGTTAAAGAAGCGGTAGAGGGTTGGTTTTCTGACAAAAAGAGAGTCTTCTATTCTCAAGGTCTTTTCAATGTCATACTTCGATGGCAAAAAATGTGTAACTATGGGAGGCGACTACATAGAGAAAGATTAAGTTTAGGACCAAATTATTTCCATACAAGTGTATGCTTCAACCAATGATGCAGAAGTGGAGAATAAAGATGACTTCTACAACCGTCTGCAGAGCGTCATTGACAAACTTCCAGGTAAGGACTCCAACATTGTCATGGGAGATCTAAATGCAAAGGTAGGTTCGGAAAATAGTCACAATGAGGAAATCATGGGCAGACACGGATTAGGAGAGGCAAATAACAACGGAGAAAGGTTCTAAAACTTCTGCACATTCAACAACTTGGTCATCGGAGGTACAATCTTCCCACATAAAAGGATTCACAATGCCACTTGGGTCTCCCCAGGCGGAACAACAGAAAACCAGATTGACCACTTTTGCATCTCCCAAAAGTTTAGACGCTCACTGGAGGACGCCCGAGTCTTACGAGGAGCAGACGTCGCATCAGACCACCATTTGATCCTTAGAAAGATGAAACTAAAACTGAGAAGATATGCACAAGTCACAGCTGGAAATCGTCTAAAGTATGAAGTGGGCCATCTGAAAGACCCAGTAAAGAAGAATGAGTTCAAGTTGGAACTGAAGAACAGATTTCAAGCCCTTCAAGATCCGGATGAATGTGAAGTCAACGAACACTGGGAAAAGATAAGAGAGGCAGTAAATGAAACTTGCCAGAGCACCCTAGAACCCAAAGACAACACCAGGAATGAATGGATTTCACAGGACTCTCTAGACAAAGTCAAAAGAAGAAGAGACCTGAAGGCCCAAGTCAACAACAGCCGTACCCGAACTGAGAAACTCGCTGCACAACAAGAGTACACCGAAGTAAACCGGGAGGTAAAGAATTCCATCAAGAAGGACAAGAATACCTACCTGAATGGCCTGACCGAAAAGGCAGAGAAAGCAGCAACAGACGGGCACTTGCGGATTGTACACCAGACTACAAGAACTCTTTCAGGTAGGTTCAGCAAGCCCACTCTACCAGTGAAAGACAAAGAGGGAAAGACTATCTTCAACCCAGAGGGGCAACTTAACCGATAGAGAGAACACTTTGATCAACTATTGAACAGACTACCTTCAGAAAACCAACCAGAAATTCTTCCAGCCAGAAATGACCTTCCAATAGTTACGGAACCACCTTCAAGAGAGGAAATTGCAGCCGCTATAAAAACACGGAAGTCCCACAAGGCAGCTGGTCCCGACCATATACCACCGGAAGCCCTTAAGGCAGAGAAAGATACGTCAATGGAAATTCTCTACGCTCTATTTGAAAAGGTTTGGCAAAAGGAGGAAATACCATCAGACTGGAAGGAAGGCCTCCTAATCAAGCTGCCAAAGAAAGGAGACGTCAGCAAATGTAACAACTACAGGGGCATTACACTCCTGTCCATACCTGGGAAAGTCTTCAACAGGATACTCCTGGAGAGAATCAAGCTGGCAACAGATGAGAAGCTTCGAGGAAATCAGGCAGGATTCCGCAAAAACCGATCATGTGTGGACCAGATCGCTACTCTGCGTATCATTGTTGAGCAATCGCTTGAATGGAATTCACCAATCGTGGTCAACTTCATTGACTATGAAAAGGCGTTTGACAGCGTGGACAGGGAAACTGTGTGGAAACTCATACGGCATTTTGGAATACCTGAGAAAATCGTCAAGCTTGTGAAGGCCACCTATGATGGAACAAACTGCCAAGTCTTCCACGAAGGACAACTCTCAGAACCATTCAAGGTACAGACAGGAGTGCGACAAGGATGCTTGCTCTCTCCTTTTCTCTTCATACTGGCAATTGACTGGGTCATGAAAGAAGCCACCAGAGGCAAACGTAATGGAATACAATGGATCCCTTGGCAGCAGCTGGACGACTTGGACTTCGCCGATGACCTTGTACTGCTCTCTCACACACATGCTCAGAAGCAAGAACAGACCAAGGAACTCAACAGCCTATCAAGGAATGTTGGTCTACGTATACATCCAGGCAAGTCAAAAGCAGTGAAGCTAGGAAAAGTTTCAAGCCCTGCTGTGACAGTGGAAGACACTCCCCAGGAAGAAGTGGACTCCTTTACCTACCTTGGAAGTGTCATCAATGATAAAGATGGAACCGAGGCAGATGTTAAAGCAAGAACCGCCAAGGCAAGGTCAGCCTTCAAGCAATTATCAAAAGTCTGGAAAGCAAGCAACATTTCACTGCGCACCAAGATTCGACTCTTTAACTCCAACGTCAAGTCTGTGCTCCTCTACGGCAGCGAAACTTGGAACACAACGAAGATAGTACTGAATAAAGTCCAGACTTTCATCAACAGATGTATGAGAAGTATTCTAAGAATAAAGTGGCAGTATAGAATAAGAAATGAAGAGCTGTGGGAAAGGACAGGACAAAAGGATATAGAAGTAGAAATAGACTAAGAAAGTGGACATGGATGGGACACACCTTAAGCAATCCCAGCGGAAACATCACAAGACAGTCACTGCAGTGTAACCCACAAGGAGCACGAGGCAGGGGTAGGCCACGGGAAACATGGAGGAGATGCGTGGAAAGGGACATGAGAGAAATGAAGCTCACTTGGAACGAGCTTGGAAGGATGGCTCAGGACAGAGATAAATGGAAAGAGCTTGTATGTGGCCTATACCCTGCCAGGGATGAAAGACATTGATGATGATGACCAAATTATTTCAGCTTTCTACCGTTATTCCGTCATCGTCAGGTAAAAAAACTTTTGGTATGCCCCTCGTACATACATGTGTGTGAACCGGGTTGTGCTTTTGATGGAACAGAAATTAGCTAAGGTGGCAAAAAGTTATATACCATCAAAAGATCTTTTGCCTTATTATTTGGGAGATCATTCCTCGTACCGTACTAAACAAGCCCTCAAACTGATATTATTCAAAACCAATTTGAAATTATTATAATAATATTCTTCTTTATTTAGTCGAGCTTTGGGGAATCGAAGGAGAATCTCTAAAGCTTTGTCAATAAACCCTTGAAACACGTTTTGGGTCCGAGATGGTTTGACTGTGTCACGAATGAGAAACTTTTAGAGAGGAGAAACTGAAGAAAATGTGAGGAGAAAGAAGTGGCATAATATGATAGAGAAGGTTGCAGCGCGTATGTC